CTCCAGCTCGCCGAGAGGAGTACGCGGCGTCGACGGGGGGAGACTTCCTGCCGCGTCTGGACCGCGGTAAGTCCGGACTAAGGTACTTCGAATTCAGCTACGTTATTAACGTAGCTGAATTTGCGTACCTTAGTCCGAAGTCCGGACTAAGTGGGGACCAGGCCCCAGAGTTTGAGAACCGCTGATCTAGGTATTTTAGAGAAGGAGGACTTGAAATACAAAGGAGAAATGAAATAGTCTATGTCCAAAAATCATATAACCCAGTGTCCATACTCACACAAAGCTTAGTCCTGCCTTGAGTGCAGGGAACTGGACTAAATAACCTCTCGCGGTCCCTACCAGTTCTATGATTCTCTAAAGCACAGTCAACATGTGAGTGAATATATTGTTGGTGGCTGTGAAGCACTGGCAGCATTGGTTTGAGTTGGGCATAGGATAGTAAGGCAGACACAGTGCAAACTTCCCCGCACAGCTCTGCCTTTCGTGGCTTGCAACACCTCTGATGTTCCAGTCCTGCCCTTCTGTTGAGCAAATACTGCCCAAGTATGCCTCCTATCTCGATCTGGACTTCTGACCACAGTTTTCTGTGGCCCAGATTGGAAGCCTCTTCCTCATGTTGATGAGTAATCCAGTGAAATAGCTTGTGGAACCAGAGTGAGTAAGGGATTCACAATCTGGCCCCGTGTGATTTTAGACATGTTTTAGATCCCTGTATTGTAAATATGGATATAGATTCATTCTTGGAGGCTGCAAATTGAAGAAACTATATTGGGGATTTCCTTGAAGCTAACACCTGGGGGGGCGGCCGCACCAGAGGGCCATCCCATGGGTGCAAATCCACATCCTTCTCAGCAAGCGTCTCGCATCCTGTGGCAAGGCTACGACTCACCAGCGCAGTGCCTCCTGCTGGTTGTCCAGGGAATTAGCTTTTCCAGCTTTGGAGCGCCCTCTGCCAGCCGCTATCCCACGTGCCTCAGGCCCCCATGTCCCTCCTGGTGTCCCTTTACCTTGGGTGCTGCTCCCTGGCAGTACCCCCAGTCTCTGGGTCTCTCCATCCCAGGGAACCCCCAACCATCTATCTCCACCTTGCCTCAGGGGCTACTGCCAATCACCATCTATCCCCCGCTCACTGGGACGGACTGCAGTCTGTGAACCACTCATTATCAGCAAGGGGGGATTTGGACCTGCTGCCTTTGCCTACCCCTGGGCTGCCCCTCTGCAACCCCAGAACCTGCTTCAGGCCTTCAGCAAGGCCTGC